TGGCTTTTAATCCCCTTTCTCCTGATCTTCTGGCCTGCTTCTTCAGGCGTCCCTGAGTTGTCTCTCCTCACCTGTATCCCTGGGGCTGACTGCTCTTCTGTCTGGGTTCAAGGCTTTTATCCCCTTCCCTGCTCTTCCGGCCTGCCACTCTGGCGTCCCTGCATTGTCTCTCCTCACCTGTGAGCCTGGGCGTGGTCCAGCCTAGGTGAGCAGAAATGGGGTCTGTCCAAGGGGGCGAGGTGCCCCACATGCCCTGGCTGCAGGGGTGGCTTGAGCCCCCTCCCTGCCTTTCTTGCTGTGATGGGCGAACACCGGGCAGACGTGGAGGTGGGTGTCTCCTGGCTGGTACCCCTCAAGCCTCAGACAGACCCACAGACCCATGCAGGGTGCACGGCCTCCGGGGTTCATTCTGCCCCAGGAGGTGGAGCCTGTTCACCATGCCTGCAGCCTGGTCCCATGGGTCACCCATGTGTGGCCGCGGGCTATGGGTGAGGCCTGTGTGGGGACCCCTTCCCAGCGGCTAGAGCACCAAAGCTGTGCTGGGCGCAGGAACCGGCGGGGCACAGACCCTGCACCGTGGGACCCTCACCCACCCACACCGTGGCTGACAGCTCCTCCCATACTCCCACGTCCCTGGCCTTGGCAGAGTTCTGACGCTGGGTCGCTGAGTTGTCGTGGGGGCTGCGGGCAGGGACAAGCCCCGGGGCAGAGGGTGGGTCCACAGAGGCCTGGGGTGGTATAGGGCGCAGGGCCAGGAGCGGGTCCTGGGCCAGGTGTGGGAGCGTGGGGCTGGGCCAGGCTGGTCTGTGGGTCCTGAGCGCCCGGCGGCTGTCCGTCCGTCTGCAGGGGCAAGTCCTGCCGCACCATCACGTTCGAGCAGTTCAAGGAGGCGCTGCAGGAGTTGTCGAAGAAGCGGTTCAAGGACAAGAGCGGGGAGGAGGCCGTACAGGAGGTGCACCGCCTCATCGAGGGCAAAGCGCCCATCATCTCGGGGGTGACGGTGAGTGTTGTGCAGGGCAGGCCCTGGGTGCCTCACAGACCCCGCAGACCCTGCCGCTGCCAGGTGGGGTCCTGGCGCCCCTGTGGCCAGGGGCTGGACTTGGACACGGTCTCCAGACCCTTCCCCAGGCCCCATGAAACCACTGGGACCACAGCCCGGGACTGGGTCTAGGTATGCCCTCCCTTAAACCGCTCCTCCAGGAGGGCTCAGGCCCAGCACTAGAGGCCAGGTGAGGGCCAGGTGGGGCAGGCGGAGGTGGCCAGCACCTGTGGGTGAGGGTGGGTGCCGCAGTCTCGGGGAAGGTGCTGCGGTGGGGGGTCGCCAGGGGAGGCTGGCAGTGCCTCAGGCTGACGCGTGTCCCTGCCGCCCTGCAGAAAGCTGTCTCGTCGCCCACCGTGTCGCGGCTCACCGACACCACCCGGTTCACGGGCTCCCACAAGGAGCGCTTCGACCCGTCTGGCAGAGGCAAGGGCAAGGCGGGCCGCGTGGACCTGCTGGATGAGTCGGGCTATGTGTCGGGCTACAGGCACGCAGGCACCTACGACCAGAAGGTGCAGGGTGGCAAGTAGCCCCCAGCGCGCCGAGTCAGGACGCGCCCCTCTACTTCGTGACATTCCTGTGCTTGCTGGGCGGAAGGGGGCCCGTGGCGGAGACCAGGCGGGGGCCTCTGGGCCTGTCCGAGGGCGGGCTACACTGGGGACATGGTCTCCCCCACCCTTCTCGGCTCGTAGGGCTGTGACTGGACTTAACCTCTCCCTACTAACCCCTCCTTGTCCCCAACTAGCATGTCGGCGTCTGGCGCTTCAGACCCTCCCTGGGGCCCCTCAAACAGGTCACTGGGTCTCTGAACGACAGGTTCTGTGAGGTGGGCTGGCACGTGGTGCACAGCCCTCAGGTGGGCGCTGGCCTCTTGACGCGGACACCCTGTCAGGAGCCCTGAGGGTCAACGAACCTAACTTACTAATCAACAGCACAAGTAAAACCAAGTGAACCGCCGAACGGGCCTCAGACGGTGTCTGGCCTGACACGCAGTGGGCGTGAGGGCCCTTCAGGCTCAGGCCAAGTGACAGGGCAGCAGCAACCTGGAGGCCATGCTGGGTCCAGACGACGTTCAGGTGTGGGGGGGTGGGGCCACCAGGCACGTGCACGCCTGCGTGGACCAAGTCTCAGACACGTGGAAGGCTGCGTTCTGGGAGGGCTCGTTCCAGGCAGGGCGGGGGCGCCTCAGTGTGCAGGCACAAGTTCGCTAGATGGACACTCACTCGCCTGATGCGTGGAGGATGTGCGCACTGCCACAGCCCGCGGGGACCAGGCCTGCCGCCCTGTGCCGGGTGAAAGGTGGTCTCCAGCGGACTGTTTTCAGTCTGGTCTCTGACGGTGTGGAGCCCTCGTCTGTCATGGCGGGGATTTCGGCTGTGAGACGCTGGCTGGCTGTGCTTCGACGCGCCCTCCAGCGGCCGGGCGACACCGGCTGTGCCCGCTCTGCACGCACACACCTCTCGTCTCTTCTCCTGGTGCTTCCTGGGGCCCCAGGAGCCCAGGGAGGGGCCGTTAAGGTGTCACCTCACATTGTCAAGGTCCCAACATGGAGTCCAGGACCCTGGCGCTGCCCACCAGGCCCCACGCTGTGGCAGAGAAAGCAGGACAGATGGGGAGGGGCCACCGGAGCTGCCGCGGTGTCACACGCTGGAAGGCGCTTGGAACCACTCCACACACACGTTGTTTCTTAATGACATTGTGACGTGAACCGAAAGGACCCTGTGCTTGCGATGCCGACGAGCCCGTGATGGTCAGCTGACGGGCTCCCCAGCCTGTGCCACACTGGGGAGATGCCCACTGTGCAGGGGCTGGGTTAGAGATGGAACTCGGGATCCAGCCGGCCTTGACCATGAGGGCCAGGGCACTGGCCAGGCAGAGGGACACACCCGCCGACGGAGGCTCAAGCCAAACTAAAGGTGGTTCACGTGGCGCAGCCGGGAGATGGTCTGAGAAAAGGGAGGAGAGGAAGCAACCGGCTGGGGCTGGACCCTCGGTGGCACCCAGCATGGCCCGGCTATACACCCCTGTGGTCAGCAACTCATGCCCATGGCTCCCGCCCCACCCGCTGGCCCTGGGCCTGTGAAGTTCTGGGCTCAGGAGGTGAGCTGGACAAGAACCTCACTTAATTCTCATAAAGATCAGAGGTGCGCCTTGACCGTGGTCAGCAGTGTGTCATCTCAGAAGGAAAGTCAAGCAGTCGGTCCCTGAGGTGTGTCCTGGTGCCTTCCGCCGGCCCGGGTCTGGTACCTCCTGCACAGCACCTGGCCCCACGCCCTCCCACCGCCCAGCCTGCATCCCCATGTCCACCTCACCCCTCAGCCACACAGGCCCGGCAGGCACGCCCTCCCAGCTGAAACGTCACTGTTCCTGCCGCATGGGGGGACCCCTCATCTGCTGTCTCCGTGCCCCTTGTCACTCACTGCTGATCAGCTTCCGCTCACCATGGTACACAGGGACCGTCCTTCACCTGTGGACAGCACACACGTGTGCCCACCCTCCAGGGGAGTCAGGGACCACGGTGCTGGGGGATGGGCATCAGCTGACGCTCGAGGACCAGCGGCCAGTGAGTCGCCAGGACCCAGGCCCAGATTACAGATAGTTTAGAGAAAGGACTGGCCACCTGTACTGGCACGCGCCCACACCTGTAACGCCCTCAGCGTGCCCCTTACGTTTAGGGTAGATGGGCAAACCTGAAAGGATGCAGGGTGGGGGTGCTGCTTTGTACCACATCCCTGAGCCAGCCTCGCAGACCCCCAGCTACCCGTTCGTGCCCCCTACCGCGTTCCAGTGGGCTGACAGGGCAGGGCTGGGCGCCTCCTCTGACCTGCTCACCCACACATGGGGCCAGAGGACCCCCCATGGCTGCAGAAAGTGCCCTTGTCCCCCCCCCACAGCCGTGGGGAACCCCCCGCCCCCGAGGGCCCAGGAAGTGTCCTAACCCCAGGGCAGCAGAGGACCCCATAGCCACAGCCACGCCTTTGTAGGGTCTGTGCCGCCTCCCGGCTCCGAGGGCAGCAGAGAGAGGCTGAGACAGATGCCAGGGCCCAGGCCGTGGCGTGCGCTGCCCGCCGCCTCCCGGGAAGTGGGTCGCCAGTGTCCCACGGGTCCCCGGCCCAGCACTTCCAGCAGTTCAGCTGAGCTGTGATGTGTCTGCCCGAGTGCCCCTCACCCACGGGGCTGCTGGCGCCCTCAGATCCAGCAGCAAAGGGGCAGTGGGCGCGGGGTCCCAGCCCACAGGGGGGGGCGCGGGGTCCCAGCCCACAGGGGGGGGCGGGGCTGGCCTCATCTTCCTCAGGCTCCTTCGGAACCAGCCAGATGCCGGGAACCCACACAACGAAGGAACTCGGCAGGACCCGCGACTAGTCTGCACTAGGTTTTTCAGCAGAGGAACAGATTTATTTATATAGAGGTGATATATTTTTGCACTGTGTTGCTGGCGTGTCGCTGTGTGGGGTGGTGGCTGCAGTCGGGTCACTGTCAGGGCACTGACTCAGACAGGCGTGTGCTCACACCTGTGGCCACAGCGCCGGGTGTCCCCGCCGGACTCGCCCCTGCCTGGCTCCTCTCTGTGTACCCTGCCCATGTGTGTCGCTGTGGTGAACGTTGTCTGACTGCTGAAGTGATGAATAAAGGTGTTGAAATGTGGACCTGCCTGCTGTCCGCAGTGTGTGGTG